GCCGAGCCCCCGTCAAGAAGATTACAATAACTCCATAGCCAGCCGATGTGAGATCAATACCGTGATTAGCTATGACTTCCACGACAGTCAATCACTTCAGCGAAAATAGATTAGAAAGAACAGAGGGGAAGGAAGAGAGAAAAAAGAACAAAAGAAGACAAAGGGGAGGAGAAAAGGGGAAAAGTTTTGGAAAAAGTCCTACTATCGTATACATTCTAGTAATCGAACATAGAAGCCTATAAGAAACACAGAAGCCATATTTTCTCAAAATTTTTGCAATTGCGCAGTGGGTACTATAGAGCAGGTGCAATAGAATGTCACTTCGGCGCATTTGAATTCTTGGTAGAAGAGAATGAAAGATGACTTGATAGTTCAGTAAATGCAGCGATTTTCAGTACGCTGGATTGGAACTTTTTTCTAAAATATTCTAAATAGAATCTCAAATATTGAAAAAAAAAGTTTAGTATTCATAGAAAGCAGGCTAGAAAGTCAGAGAGACTCATTTGCTAAATTCGATACCTAGAAGCTTGCAAAATTAGAAGATCAGATATTTTAGTCCTTACAAAATTTGAGGTAATTTGAGTAGGGACTCTCATGCAAGATATGGAGGATACAATAGGTTCATGCACTCCATAGCAAGACCTCAGGTAGTCAAGATAGAGAAGACATCTACAACATGGTAAACATGCAAAAGAACACAAGTATCGACGAGCGACAAAAGTATAAACGGAGCACACGGAGACAGTGAGACGTTGGACGAAACGAGTGGCAGAACAACCGAGGCGCGGCTTAGAATCTGATCGCCTCCGGGCTGGTTCAGCATAATGAAGTTCCGAATAAAATGAGGCCCAAACGAGGTCAAAATAGGGGCGATTGGGGTCGGAACAAGGGGCGGGCGGTAGGGACCCGGTAACCTGGTTCGGGATAGACTCACCTCGCATAGCGGCGGGTCGCGGGGCGAGCGGCTAGGGGTTTGGCAAGGTGGCGGGCGACGGCCGACCACCACACCACCGGCGGCCGTCGGGCGGTAGCGCACCAAGGCCATCGACCCCGCGCAACATTAGCGGGGAGGAGAAAGAGCAGAGAGTTGAAGGTGGACACGAGAGGCACGTGGCGGGACTGTAGATGAATTCTAGAGGGACCAGCGACTCTGTGGGCAGTTCTGAGGGCTCCCAGGAGGAAGTACGTGAAGGTTTTTCCGAAAGTCTCACTGTAACTCCAGTGGAACTTCTGCAAAATACTGCCAGATGAGTTCGCAGTCCCCTACAAAGCTCGAATTCAGCGATTTTACACATCTAAGCAATGTGACACACTTCCTTCCACGGGGAAATTTCTATTTCCCGCTACGTAGCATACCGCAACCACGGTATCTGGTGGATACTAAATGTAACTGTAAGCAAAACACCACACGAGCTTCTCTAGAAGTAGGTCGGCGTGATTTGCAAAGTTTCGTAAAATGCGTTGATGAGAGTGAGCGAAGAGTGCAGATCATATATAGGGTACGAAATGCTTGATCAAAACTGCGAAAACTTTTCTTCACAGTTATGTCCATATCGATACCTTATCCGAAAAATCAGATGCACAACCCCCCCCCCCCCGCAGTTGACTTGCTTGCTTAGTGCTTAAATCATTGTTTGCTGGCCTTGTACAAAAATGAACTACAAGCTTTTACATCTAAAATTTTTTTCTCAAATTCTGCAAGCTAGTTAGCTCAATGCTTAAGACGATCAAAAGATGATTTTGCACAAAATGGTTTCAAATTCTTCAAAACCTGGTTATCACAGTCGACGGTGGCGAGCTCAGCGCCAATTTCTCCCACTTTTTTATTTTTCCTCTATTATTTCGATTTCTCACTTTCTTTCTGGAATGGCGAAATGGGAGATATGTGAAAAAGCTGAGACTTTATTTTGTAAGTGATCAAATTCTTGTTTGAGAAAAACATGCAAGTAAGAAAAAATGAAATGAGAAACTCACTCGAAATGCATATCACAAACTCTAGTTGGAATCAGAAATAGGAAAATAAATTTTCGAAACCTAGACTCATGCACGATTCAGTAGTAGCGCCTCTTACATTGTGCCAGGCACCAGAACGGCTGATAAGCATCTACAATGTCCTGCGCAAAATGTATAATCCTAATAAACCTGAAATGAGAAAAATATTCAAATAATCGCATACTTTCATTGCGATGCACAGACGCCTTCCCCCTCCCTCCCCCCCCCCCCTCCCCCCCCCCCCCCTCCCCTCGGGCTAGATTGGGTCATGAAGTTTATAAAGGTAGCCTAAATGAGTGAAAAATCGTGCAAATAACTTGTTATCATTTCTATTGTAGGTAATCAAAATGATTTTCAAAAAATTATGAGAAACATCAAAGTCATTTTTTTGTAGAAATGCGACTTCCGTCACGTCTTTTTTTATAAAAGAGTTTCTAGGCTAAGGTTCGGAAAGCATCCTTTTTGGGAAAATTTGGGAAAACTTCTGTTTATGTTGTGATATTGTTGAAATGAGCAACCTTTGCTAAGCTTGAAAATGATAAACAATGAATTAGAGAAAAAGCCGGAATTTCGACAAAAAGATAGCTTTTTCACAATATGGCAGGATCTAAATTGATAACAATTAGTTTTTTCACAATATGGCAGGATTTGAATTGATAACAATTTTGACAGCAAAATGCCTGCGCAACGCTATAATAATCTATATAAGTCTTACAAATTACGCAATCCATTCTGATTACAACGAGCATTTGAAAATTAGGCCTCGGGCAGAGTGCACGCGATTTCATCGTCGCGATTAATCGCGACAAAACAACTGTAACAATATCATTGTCGATCTTCTCGTATTTCGGATGTGATAGTTCGTCACGATCAGTCGTGTCGGAAAACTATCACAACCGAAAAGCAAGAAGACCGGCATCAATGATATTGTTACAGTTGTCTTGTAGCGATGAATCGCAACGATGAAATCACCTGACTCTGCTCGAGGCTTTACCTGATGATATGTTAGGTTGTCCCAAAGTACTCCTTCGTGATTAAATTAAGCTGATTTGTTCTCGTGCCAGTCTTAGAATATCATTCGATAGAGTAAAGCAAGCTCTACAGGATGACCACCAAAGTTTCGCCTATTGATAATTCAAGTGAAATTTGGAGCCGAAAACCGAAATCTTTCAGATATCCTCAGAGTCGGATCTCCTCCTAGAAAATTTCTACGGACTTCCAAGTTAGTCCTTATAAATTGTACTACACAAAATTGCATTTGGTGGATTTTCTCTTGGGGCTCAAGAATGAGACAAGATGTCCCAAAAATGCTAAAATGTCGTTTTTTATGTTAAACTTGGTATTTCTCGATTACGAAAGCACAAACAGAAATGCAAATCTAAAGTTATACTTACTAAGGTCTTTGATATATGTTTCACATGTGGTTTGTACTATCTTTCTTTTCTAAATGCGGAAAAAATCCAATGAAGCCGTATTTGAGTACTACTGCTATGTTTCTACTGTATAACGACCAAATTTGAGGGTGGTAGAATTTTTCTCGCAAAAATCCAAATTTCAAGTGATAAACTTTTTGCGATTTTGGCTCCAAATTTATCTGGATTGACAGCTTGATTTATTTAGAAAAGGAGTTTACTTTTGAGACAACCTAACAAAGAAATTTCGACAGTTCAAAGCAGCATTTCGTGTAAATTCTGGGAGGAAATCAGTTTCTGACTCTAAAAATTCAAGAACAGCTAGCAAGCCTATGCAATACCCATGTATTACGATGGTGACGTTGAAGAATATCGGAAAAATTATACATGAAAACGAGCAGATAGTGGTGGACCGATGGGGGCAGGGCAGTGGCGTACTCAGGATTTCGGCTCGGGGAGGGAGGGGACGACAAAAAAATTTTTCGATGAAGGCGCGTAGCGTCAGCCACGCACTCCGAAAATTTTTTTGGTGTGCTCCCTAAAATTTTCGCGGGCCCAGAACCCCGAAATCTCAGAAATCGGGTTTATAAGGCTAAAATGAATTTTTAAAAAATTTTGAAAATTACTTTATTATTTACAAGTGCAGACATCATTTGCACAATTTAATAACCCATGTAAGTAACTTTCAAAAATTTTGCGACCCGTTCCCCCCCTCCTCGGTAAGCCACTGAGGCAGGGGTAGGGAAGTCACATGCATGAATCACAAAATTGCTAAAGTGACTTGTTCTACTTGCGACTAATTAAAGTGAGGATTTTTCAAAAATTCGAATTATTTCTGAAAAAACCCCAAGACTATCGACGAGATGGGCAGGTCGGTGTTCAATGTCAATCATTCTGGTACCAAATTTTTATATAGTTACACGAGAATCACTCGAAATTTCAAATAAAAAATTCAGTTTTCTTTACAAATCGAGACTATACTTCCATTATGGCTCATCCTTATATTTCCATATTTTAGCGTGTTTAAACCATGATTTGAAAGGAGATCATATAAGACATGCTTTTTCAAAAATGCCTGCGATGATTGATTTTTGTGAATTTGCAATGAAGCAGAGGATAAGCGTATTCAGTACCCAAGACTGTTAAACAGTTTCAGTAAATGCTAGACTTCTAAACTGCAATATATATGCCACAATTGCACGCTCTAAAATTAGAGATAAAAATACAGCGCTCACGCTTTCCTCCACTTTCTGAGAAACTCTTAATTTTGTGGATTTTCTCACAGCCAAATGAATTATTTCTGTTTTTAGCGACTACACGATTCGTGGAATTCTGCATCCACTATTTCATTCTTTCGCATCCATCTTTCTCGTGTAAACATTACACCTCAGAATTCGCCGATGAAAAATGCAAGCTAACGATCCCTCTAAAAACCAAAATGAGGAAAGAACTTCTATTGAAAAAAAAAACAGTGTAGTTTTTGACTGTATTCATCCCACATGAGATATTTTCGATAATTGTTGACTCTGAGCTCGTGAAGCCGTTGAATCCGATTTCACGTTTCTCAAACACACGTAACTCAATTTCTGTGCTTGGTGATACACATGCAACACAACACAAGACGTTTCAAAAATATTATTCCGGAACAAAACTTGCATCAAACCAACAACTTTACCCTTATGGAATGGGAGACAACAAAAACCAAACAATCACACGGGTTACTTCTTCTTAGCTGCGACTCCTGCCTTCTGTGCAGCCTTCGTGACCTTGCCAGCGCCTCCCTCGGATTTGTCCACAGACTTGATGACTCCGACGGCAACCGTCTGTCTCATGTCACGAACGGCGAATCGTCCAAGAGGAGCATAATCGGTGAAAGATTCGACGCACAAAGGCTTCGTAGGGATCAGCTCGACAATGCCAGCGTCGCCAGACTTGAGGAACTTCGGGTTATCCTCAACCTTCTTACCAGTTCGACGGTCGACCTAAGAACAATGTGTTCAAGTACTGTACAAAATGATTGCTGAAAATGTGCGAACCTTCTCTTTCAGCTCTGCAAATTTGCAAGCAATGTGAGCAGTGTGACAGTCGAGCACAGGCGTGTATCCAGCCTGGATCTGTCCGGGATGGTTCATAATGATGACCTAAAAGACATCATTTCCAGAACCTGGTAGAACCAGTGGGCAATATATAACATACCTGAGCATTGAAAGAACGAGCTTCCTTGGCAGGATCGTTCTTCGAATCCGAGCAAACAGATCCACGGCGGACATCCTTGACGGACACGTTCTTAATGTTAAAACCAACGTTGTCTCCAGGTACAGCCTCAGGAAGAGATTCGTGATGCATTTCCACAGATTTCACTTCAGTAGTAACGTTCTGAGGGGCAAAGGTAACGACCATTCCAGGCTTGAGGATACCAGTCTCTACACGTCCTACGGGGACAGTCCCAATACCTGGACATTTTCATTATAGAAAATAAAAAAAGACGGGCAGATATCTTGAAGGCAGTGCCCGGGCAAAAAGTCGATTTTGAGATTTTGTGCTAACCCGGGCTTATTCGCTATGCTGAATCCGAAAATGCACACTAGAAAGCGTGAAGACGGGAAAGGCTCTAATGCAGAAGGGAAATCAGGAGATGGGCGGGATCTTTCCCAATGTGAATTCGCCCTCCAAGCGTCCGGAGCGATTTTCTCAATTTCGCTAGCCGCCCTGACATCTCCACCGGCAAAGTAGGAACGCTTGACTTGAAATCAAAACCGAGAAGATCGCTTCGGAAGCTAGAAGCGTGAATTCAAGTTGCATTCAAGGGAAGACCCCCGGCCACCTCTGGTTTCCCTCCTATGTTAGAGCTATTTTTTGCCGTTTTCGCCCTTTCTAGTGTGGATTTTCGGGTTTAGCATATCGAAGAGGCTCGAGTAAGCACAAAATCCCAAAATCGACTCTTTGCCCAAACACTGCCTTCAATGCAGAATGTAACCTACCTCCTATTTTGTAAACATCCTGAAGTGGAAGTCGAAGAGGCCTGTCGGTAGGTCGCTGTGGTGGAACAATCGAGTCCAAAGCTTCAAGAAGAGTCTTTCCAGTAGTAGTACCCTCCTTTCGCTCAACGGTCCAGCCTTTGAACCATGGCATGTTGGCAGATGGCTCCAACATGTTGTCACCGTTGAAGCCAGAGATGGGCACAAAGGCGACAGCCTTCGGGTTGTAGCCGATCTTCTTGATGAAGTTCGACACTTCAGTCTGGATTTCGTTGAAGCGAGTTTCCGAGAACGGTGGCTCTGTGGAATCCATCTTGTTGCAGGCAACGATCAATTGCTTTACACCAAGAGTCTGCGCCAGAAGAGCGTGCTCACGGGTCTGTCCGTTCTTCGAGATACCGGCTTCGAATTCACCAGTACCGCAAGCGACGACGAGCACAGCACAATCGGCTTGTGATGTTCCTGAACATCAGCAATTTTCGCAAAAAGCCATTAGAATACTAAGTATGTACTGACGAACCAGTAATCATGTTCTTAATGAAGTCACGATGTCCTGGAGCATCAATGATGGTGATATAATACTTGGCTGTCTCAAACTTCCAGAGAGCGATATCGATGGTAATACCACGCTCACGCTCGGCCTTCAGCTTGTCCAGCACCCAAGCATACTTGAAGGAACCTTTACCCATCTAAAAAAGGCTAGTTTGCATACTCTGAAGCACTCTTCTAATTCTCTGACCACATTTACTATTTTGTAATTTATTGTTTGGTTTCTTTTCAGTTCTATTCTGACATAGAAACGCATGCTACAATCTTTTTTCGCTCCATCCCTTAGACAAAGCAAAAGAATCTACACGTCCTCCCGAAACTGAAGTATTTGCTGTATTCGGTTTCGAAATCCCACGCGCTGCAACTAATCGCTTTAGTTTTTTTTCCTTCAAAAAAGCCAAAAAATGCTCGCGAATGCCCTAGACAACATTTCTTTACATTGCTTACATTGCTGACTGATTTTTGTGAAGCATATCGGACAATAAAGCAGCTATGCTATGCTATCAAAGGAAGCATGTTCAGTCGAAGTGGCCTTTGTCAGATGGAATGTATACAACAATATAAAAGCAAAAACGCTGATTCCAAAACTGCCTTCTTTATCCGCAGAGCGGTTGTGGACGAGAAGTTAACAGCGTTTATTATATAGGATAAAATGAGTTCTAAAATCTTATTATCAAATGAAGCAAACAAGTGCGATGTATCTTTTTATCTTAAATTATTGAATAGACTCTGGTAATTATCACTGCTCCATCAAAGCGCCACAAAAATAAATTACGACTATTTTTGTTCTACTTGCACAATCAATTTTTACTCTCATAAACGCTCATAACTCCTCGTCCATAAACTTCCGCAATTAGAAAGGTTTTGGAATCAGCGTTTTACGCCCTACAATATGTTATAAATACCATCTCAAAAACCCAATTCGAACATGCTTTCCTTGCAAGGTTTGTCACGAGTAAATTGAAAGTAGATTATATTACAAATGCTCATCTATTTTCTGTAACACATTATAAAGCCATATCTTCCAACTTACATGACTACTATAAAAAACAAATATATACCACTTAAAATCTGACAATATTCAAAGGTACCCTTCCCCACCGCGAAATGAAGGAGTAGCATTTATGCAGTTATATCAGAATCTCAACTGCATCCAAGAAAGCCATAAATGTTTTGTATAAGCAGGAGCAGACACTATACCACGTTTTTTCCTATTGCAACAAAACGTGTAGGCGAAGTTATTCCAGAACAGATCTCCCCAAGGCCTGTGTATCGTAGGGCAACACGTGTATGGATTAAACACTCCATTATGCACAGACTGCAGTTGATTACCAGTTCACGCATCACGAAATCACCAAGAAGATACTTCTTTTGTGGAATTTCCCCCTAATTTGCGCATGTTCTCGCTTTTGAAGCTGTGGCAATGACGATACCTTGACTCCAAGCAGCTGCTTCAGTAAGCAGGCTAGTGACTGTAACCAGTTAACCGAAAGCATGCTTCCCTTAATTGCATAACGATCTAACAGTCTTTGATAGAGAAGGCTTATATTGATCCAAAGAAAGTTCCTTGACAATGAACCGAAACACAATGCTAATTGGACCAACTCTACTAGAAGACTAGTCGAACTCTTTACACCTCCTCCCACTCACAAAAAAATCTAGCGCAGCAAACTGTGACTCATCACTCTTACTGTGAGGTTTTCTCCAATGAGGTAAATTTCAAGAAAAAGAGGAGTTCTCGAGCCCTTCTCCGCGTGTATATGGCTAGAGAACCCAGTAACAATCGGCGTGGTTCGATATCGAATTCCACATATGGTACGACAACCAACCTAATGCTTCCCTTTTTCTAAAAATCGTGCACATTTTAAACACACCAGTGAGTACTGATTTCAAAAAATGGTGGGGGCCACCTAATGACGGCCTCAAATTTTTTCGAATGAAGCGGCCATGGGACGGCCGCTTCATTCGAAAAAAATTCAGCTTTCCGAAAAAAATATTTTGGGATGCTTCCAAACTTCTGCAAGCTTATAAACTTGAAACTCTAGAAATGGAGCAGCAATGCCAAAGAAAATTCTTCCACAGAAGTGATCCAAATTCTTGAGATCTTGAGAATTATTTTAATTGTCTACAAGCAAAAAAGTCAGATGCACGACTTTATGACTCAAGGCTGCCTTCGAATAATTCGCGACTCATTCCCGAAAAGGCCCCTGTTCTCCAAAAATTCATACGTTTACTGACTGCGAGTTACTGATTTTTGGTTTTTCATCATGAGCTGAAAATAGCGTGCAACATAACATGCAGGCGTCCTAAAGGTAGTACTCATTGTTTGATAGTTGATATCTCTCTTGCCAAGAAATCGTTTGCCTACGATCAGGTACAACCTACGGATTTCATGTTTTTGTAGAGCTGGCTTCAACTTATACGGGGTGTCCCAAAAGTATGTATCGAACGTTTGATCGTTAATAACTCTCTTCCCAAGAAGTCTTTTGCCTTGCTTTAGGTACCGTTTTGTAGAGCTGGCTTCAACTTAGATTTGCACTATAGAACGAATCATTCATCTCTCTTCATTACTGTAGGATTACGGTAGAAACTTGAAACATATGGTGTTAATGTGAAAAAAGCTGCCGTTTCAAAATTTTTCAAAAAATCGTGAAAACTTGTGTAATAGGGTTTTTTATGGACGCTGAGTTCAATAATTAACTATTCACAAGATTACGAAGCTTTCTAAACGGTGCAATCCCACTTTTTAGGAACATTGAAAAAATGGCCGCTACTTCTTACCTGGCATAACTCTTCAATGAAGCATCATAATAAGTTGGGAACTTTACAGTTATAATCAGCAACTCTAATTAGCCTAGTGTAAAAGTTTTAAGGCTGTTTTGTTTCCTTTCTGGGGCAAAATATGGCCTTTCATTGCTTAAAACCCTCCTTGAAGTTTCTACCGTAATCCTACAGTAATGAAGAGAGATGGGTGATTCGTTCTATACTGCAAATCTAAGTTGAAGCCAGCTCTACAAAACGGTACCTGAAGCAAGGCAAAAGACTTCTTGGGAAGAGAGTTATTAACGATCAAACGTTCGATACATACTTTTGGGACACCCTGTATACTTACAGTAAAAAGCGAATATCAATCGCTCTTCGTTAGCGTAGGACTATGTTGGGAACTTCCGTCGTAGTGTTACTGTGAGAAAGCTGCCATTTTGCATGATTTCTAAAAAGTCTGGGGGCTCATCTACTACGGATTACATGGACGCTGAGTTCAATACTCAGCTTTGTACAAAACTGTGAACCTTTCTGAACGGTGTAACCACATTTTTTAGCTCCTGGCATAAAATTTTTACGAAGTATTGTAGTATGATGTAAACTTCGTGTTAGAATCAGCGCAACAACTAGCCTAATGCAAGGAATTTCAGTCGTTTTTTTTTTTCATTTTTGGAACAAAATATGCCCTCCATGCCTCAAAACCCTCTTCAGCTACCGTAATCTTACACTAATAAAGAGCGATCGCTGACTCGTTCCCTACTGCAAGTTTGAGTTGTGACCAGCTCTACAGAATACTACCTGATAGTAGGCAAACTACTTCTTGAGGGATAGATCAGACGGTGGGTATATACTTTTAGGACGCCCGATAATCACACATAGCCTTCCCGAAATGATTTTTCACCATGTAAATATATATTGAAGTCCACACACTACTATGACCCCCGGGTAGAAACTAAGAGAACAAAATGGGCTTTGTGTTCGCAACCAGCACTTAACCTGTAACCAGCACGAACGTGTAAACAGTTAATTACTGGAGTAGGCAGGCATAAAATCCCTCCAAGAAGTTCCCGACGAATGTAACTTTGGAAAATAGTGCATTCACTGCGGTATATTTTCAGAGGAACTGGAATATGCGATTTGGCAGCAGACAAATGCCTTCGTCCAATAAACCGCTTAACATAAATAGGAGGCCGTTTTACAATAAGCATTCTAAACCTCTTAATCGATAGACTTGATGGAGGTTTCTGTGTTCTACATCAAGTTCAGGCTCTATTTTGCAGAAGAATAGGGATTGTTCCAGAACCAGTCAGTTTCAGAACGTGAGCCATTTCTTGACTTGCCGCGGTGATTATTGTACAGCCAAAATCAATATGGAGTGCAAGATCGGTGCAGTTGGTTTTCTCTATCATATCAACTTTCGATGGAAAACAAAAGAAGATTTTATGAGGGAACTCTATTCGCTTTCTCTGATAGATCGATTGAGAAGAGTGAGACACGAATTACCCAGATAAGACCGCAAAGTGTAAAACTATCCAGACACCAAGGATCAGACTCTGAGAAACTCAGCAGATCTCCATATTTCATGCCATTAGCGCACCACGCCAATCAATGAGCACATTACGAAACGTTTCCTCGATTATTGCACAACATGATGAAACTTGCCGTACTCCATTTTCGCATCCATTTTCGACGAAACACATTGTTTTTTGAGATTTGATATCGGATTTGTTTTCACTACACTACTTCCACTACATCTACGTGAGTCACGAAACCACTTTACCTCTTGGGCTTCCTTCTCGAACTTTTCAATAGTTCTCTTATCGATACCACCACATTTGTAGATCAAATGACCGGTGGTAGTCGATTTTCCTGAATCGACGTGACCAATAACGACGATGTTAATATGAGTCTTTTCCTTTCCCATATCGAGATGTAAGCTGAAAATTCCTGGTAATCAAACCAAGCATACCCGGTATGTTCGGGTTCTATTCTACTTCTAGCACTACGTTCTATCTATCTAGCAGGCTTATACGAAGCCAACTAAAAAGAAGCAAAGTACATACACTTTTACTCAGGAGGAGAACAACAGGGGCAGCAGCAATTGAGGCCGTGCGTTCAAGTGAGGGCAGAAGCCGCGTTCGCCACGGTGTTTCCACTGCGTAGCAGGCCGCGGCTCGCGTGGGCGCAACACACGGCTGCCACACGCTTTATGGGGCGCTTCGAAGACGGCTGCAGCGCGTTGACTGCTTCGGCGCGAATTCGATTTGAATCCGCTAAAGGAACGTCTGGCGGGGCGGTGCTGGCCGTAGGGAGGTCTTGCAGCTCGTTATTTTTTTAGGTCTTCCGGGGCTAATGCAAAAATCCGTGCTAGGAATAGGAAAAGTGAATTTAGAAGTGCTATATGGTTACTATGAGTGATCTATGGGCATTGCGGTAGCGAAATAGGGGGCTGAAGACAGACTATTTTAACATCTGAATAACTGATAAACTGTTATCGATTTATGCGCATGTGTGAAGCAAGCTGGACGTTAAAGAGCTTCTGCATGATAAAAAATATGGTGAGCTTTTTAGTGCATCTTTTTTACATAAAATCGTTCGATGGGTTAGCAGTTGACATTATCCATCTTTACACAGAGCACAACTGCTACTAGGGTAAATTATTTCTAAGGTACTACCATTACTAAGGTACTAGGGTAAACATTGTGCTTTTATAGTCGAACATAATTTTCTTTAACTTTTGGTTTCACAAAACATGATGGCTTTAGTAGTCGCCATAAACTTGCTCTTTGTTACAGTAGAGTCTGCCAATATGTGCATCATTTATCTTACATTGACCTTCCTTGAAATGCACATCGATTTGTCCCCATACTTACTGTGCAATGTTGTCCCCACAATTTACCAGTTTGGGAGTTTTTTTTTCACTTTTCGTTCCTTTTTTCTCTCATTTTCTTTTTCTTTTTCTTTCTCTCTAACTCTGATTACTGAACACATTCAAGTACTTTTTGGACCTGTTCGCGAACGTGATTACTTGCACTTACCAGAGATTGGTTGGCGATCAATGTCCGTGTTTGTGCAAAGTCTTTGTTGTCTCATTATTGTTCGCTTTACATGCAGTTTTCTGCTTTGTTTGGTATAATATCCGGAAGTAGTTACTCTGGAAGTCTATGCTTTTCTCTCTTTTGATTAATATTAATTGAATAATGCGGGAGACAGTTGAGGGAGAATCGACCAACTGTTAGCCAAACGCACAGTTTACGTGTTTTTTTTTATACGTATTGGATTGCATGAGTAATCACTGCTTATCGAAATGTTACACACAACGCCCTTGTCCTTGATGTTAGTTTGTACCAGTCAAGCGTCGTTTGCAAGAAAGGCCTTGCTATTTTCTCTCCTTTTAACTCGCTAATCGCAGCGATAATCCGCGAATAATCTCCCATTAATCTTATCATTTCTATCTTTAGCACAGCTGTATACAGAAATGTCGCTTCTTGAGCAAGTGAGCTCGCTTTTAAGCTATCTCCCGGAAGTGGCCTTCCCCAGGAAGAAGGCTCCTGCTTACGCCAACCCCCCGGTTATGGCACAACCAACCTTTCATCTTGCTGATATGTCATCGATAACACGAATTGCTGGGTTATCTGGAGCCGTTGCAGTAGCACTGGGAGCTTATGGAGGTCATAGTATGTTATAAGTAGATCTTTCCGTAGACTAAAAACTGAGGCTCACCATTGTTTCATTTTAAAAATTTCTAGTGATCCGCGATGATGAGAAAGTGGAGATAAGAAGGAAAAATGCGTTTGAGGCAGGCTCTCGATATCATCTAATCCATACGCTTGGACTTCTGGCTGCTCATAAAGCTCGGTATCCATGGATGACTACGGCTATATTCGTAGGTAAGCTTTTCAATACTATCGTTACAGTTTGGTTACCTGTTTCCTTAACATTTTTGGAGATATCTCCTTATTTGCCCGAGTTCAATGAATTCAAAAGCAGATGTTATTGTTCAGGTGGAATCGTTATGTTTTGCGGGCCTTGCTACCACTATAGCATCACAGGGCAAACAAACACACGAAAATTCGCTCCGATTGGTGGTGTCCTTTTCATTCTTGGTTGGCTTACGTTCATACTTTGATATATCTTTGCTATTTTGTACAGTGCTAGTCATTAGTTCAGAACTTCATGCAATAAATAATTTCCAAATGTACATGTACAATATCACAGTTATTCTTCCTTGTCGGATCCAGACTCGTATTCATTAACAGAATCTTCATTTCTTGTGTCTCGCCTCATCACTTGTTCTATCAGACCTGCTACCTCCGCGTCCTAAATCAGTGTATGTAGCTAGAATGAAGTTCTGCTTTTTTATTACATTTTTTCTGACAGATTCGGTAATTTAACGAAAGCGAGAATTAAAGGAGCAAGCGTTTGCTATTTATCTTACTTTACAAAACCCAGAAATGGACCGCTAGATGATGATAAGTAACTTTCAAGAGAGCTGAGAACCACAGCTGCAAAAAACTGTAATTCCCTTCAACGCTACGTATACACACCTTGAATTCTTGCACTGGCAAACGAGTCAAACTTCCTCACTTGGCTCAGATCAGTAACAAAATCGTAGTCATTTGAGGAAGTCACGTTTGGAAGCAGACTCACCGAGAGGACCATTTACTCGAAGAGAGTGAAAAAAGGTGCTAGTGTTAGGGTTTCTGCCGCATTAGTTTTTACATCCTTCTCAAATCTATTGACAGAGTTTTTGCAATAGAAAATAATGGGGGCGACATTCTCGCTATCAGCTAATCGTTTCTTTTTATGACGCGATGAATTTTTCTGTGAGCTTGTGAAAAGAACTGTTTCGTACTAAAATTCTATGAATTGAGACAGTAATTATAACAATCATTTAATGGTATGGTGAGTGGGTAACTTAAACACTACAGAAAACAGCTAATTACTGAAACTATTAAAGGCAGTGGGTCGGCAGAATGAGACCGTGGCAAAACAAGGTCACAGGGTAGGAGCCCCATAATGGAACCTATGGGCCAAAGTTCGATCTTTCTCTGCCACTTCTAGCCCCCGAAATTTCAAAGCGAAAGCAGCCTCATCTCCTGTCCTCTCCGAACCCGCCCACCCCATGGACGAGTGACTTCCGCGGTCAGAGCGCCAGCCGCAATGTTATAAGCATGAGGTCCCGCAACGACTCTGCGTCTTCGCCATGACGGGCTTCGCGTTCACTCGTCCATGGGGTGGGCGGGTTCGGAGAGGACAGGAGATGAGCGCTGCTTTCGCTTTGAAATTTCGGGGGTTAGAAGTGGCAGAGAAAGATCGAACTTTGGCCCATAGGTTCCATTATGGGGCTCCTACCCTGTGACCTTGTTTTGCCAAGGGTCTCATTCTGCCGACCTACTGCCTTTAAGGCCCGTATGCACGTACGTCCCCGCTGGGGAGCGGAGGGGAACTGGATCCCCAGGGGAACGATCCCCTCCGCCGAACCCCGCCATGACAGAGGGGAGGGGAGCGATCCCCTCCCCTGCACTCAAGCGGGGATGGTGTGAATGATTTCAGAGGTATTGATCGAGCGAACCCCAGTGCATACGGGGTTCGAATGGGGGAGGGGATCCCTTCCCTTCCCCCACTCGAACCCCGTATGCGCGAATTCAACTCAATAACGCGGGGGAGGGGATCGACATCCCCTGCAAAGAAGTAGGGGTTCGATGGTGTAGATCATGCTAGAGACGCGGATATTCTGGTTCTGCTCAGTCATTACCAAGCATTTCGTTCATTTTGATGGAGGATTTTCTTTGAAAGCCGGGTTCTTCTCTCAGCGACCTGTGGCTTGCAATTTGTCTTTCTTTTCTACATTCGCCTCTTAAGAAGAAATCCGAGCAACAATAGCTGCCAATTTCGATTATTTGTAGGAGTTCTTGATCATTCAGGAAATTTGCGCATTTATAACATAATAGTTTTAACTATATAGGCTGAGTAAACACACCGTAACTTTCATATTTCATGACATGTTGCCATTATCTTGTTTTTTTTAACATAAGCTGCCTCGAAAAATCTAGAAAGTAGCATATTTGCCTATTTCTGAGTAGAAATCCCCTGGGGAGTGATCCCCTCCCCAGCGTTCCCCTTGTGCATAGCAGGGATGGCTGATGGGGATCATTCCCCTGGGATAAAGGACGATATGCAGCTGATAGTTACAGCGTTTATGGAGAGCTGGCACAATTTGCAGCTTCTGTTATGTGTTAGAATACTGCTTTGAGCGTCCGCGCGGCACCCCCCCCCCTTTTTCGGCAGCATAACGTCTTCTACCCATTCCCTTGCAGAGACACATCAACTTCTATAGTTCAAAATTTTTACGCTGAAATGGAGCAGCATGAACGAAAGTGGGCAGCATCCAAGAAAGCAGGAACATAATGGGAGTAGAAAAATTCATTTTTAGCGCCCCGAGCGCAGTCACTGCATACGCGCATTCCGCAACCCTAAATTAGTTAAAGTGAGGAGATGAAGATGAGTTGTAGTCAAAATATGAAATAAGAAAGAGTTTTTCATAGAAAATTCGAAAGCAAGGTGATTTCCCCGCTTGACCCCCTCTTGTGCATAAGAGGGTTCACTTCCCCTCCCCACAGGGGATCCCTTGAACGATATTGGTTGTTGTGCATACGGGGGTTCGCGCGGGGAGGGGAGGGGATCCCCAGCGGGGATCATTTCAATGGTTAAGCGCACATCCCCTCCCCGCGGGGATGTACGTGCATACGGGCCTAAGTGAAGAATTGCCTCACCCTAGCGACATCAATTGGCAATTTTTGGTCCCGATTCCGAACCCAAGTGTTAGCGCCATGCTCAAGCATTAATTTCACGCATTCCGTATGTCCTTTCCATGACGCAGCATGTAGCGCTGTGTCTCCAATCTTGTTCTGCAATGGGAAATTTCATTCGCTGAAGAGAAGGAAGCTGGATCTTTCAGACATACCGATGCTCTCAAATAGGCTTTATCTTACAAATACTGAAGTACCTGTGAAGAAACAGTTATTCCTGGAAGCTCCAGCAAGTATTTTACAATCTCTACATGACCACCATGACAGGCCCAGTACAATGCTGTAGAACCAGATTTGTCGAGGCTGTTGACAGACACCTGTTTGAGAAGTACATAGTCTGATGACACTTCACTCGCGCACTCGAAGGTCCAAAGTGCTCACCTGATTTCCTATGCATTCCTTTAGAAAAAGCAGGTTTCCCCGACGTGCTGCTTCATGTAATGGATTGGATAGCTCCTCCACATTCTCACCGATAACTGAATGACGAATTTTCAAAGTTGAAAATCTGCTAAGGAAGTTTGGATGACATTCAAAATGATCGTGGTGATAAAATGTGAGACAGGCTTCAGATCGCATTCCAACCCGCCTGTACCCACCGAACTTGCATAAATCTACCCGCAGCTGAATGAGGAATGAAGGAAACAAAGAGATACGCTGGGAAATTAACATCTTGGGACACACGTAAATAGCAAGCGTCGCGAACTCATAAGTCACAAACAATATGACTGTATTTCATTTGCAGGTTCATATTTTTAGAGGGCTTCCGGCGAGTGGGGGCGGGTACAGGCGAGTTGCGGCGGGCTTCAAACGCGGACTAAAGCCTGCCTAAGCGGCTCCATCATCATTGTTAGGCTTCCTCATCAGTATACGTAATTACACGAGGTTATTCGAGAGGAAAGAATTTTCCTGACTTTTAGGAAAGCGCCGCTAGCTAGAAGGAGCTTCGGAGAAATTATCAAGAAGTTTTTAATTTCTACTGTATTACTGCTTTACGCTCGTAAATCCTTCTGCTGGGTCTGTGCGAAGCATACAAAATCAATGCAAGTCTTCCGCTGGATACGTATGGGCTGGGGTTAATGTTTGTAGACGGTTGCCTTTGAGTCCGGGCATACATCAAGTGATTTCATCGCCTCGCGAATCTTCCAACAAGACAATAATTGTCGATTTATTCATGCCCGTCACCTTGCATTTCGATTGTGATAGTTAGTCTTGATTAGTCGTGTCGGAAAACTATCACAACCGAGATGCAAGATGTTCGGAATGCCTTGATCTGGTAAAGCTGTCTTTCTGGAGGAATCGCGATGCGATGAAATCTCCTGATGTATTCCCGGCTCTTTTTGGGTAATGCCTTGCTTGAGCTCCCTCATCAGTCATGCGAGTAACTTTCCCAGATTTGCCTGGACACTGCCATTACGTCCCCTATCTCAAAACTTTTCCGTATCCTGCTAACGTCGTCAAATTGTTGAACTATAATTACAGTTCAGCGGGCAGCGCTGTAGTGATTCATTGAGTGAAGTTACTAAAGTCGTATATAGGAAATACTATCACTGCTCACATGATTATGCTGGAAACAAGCTTGCATATAAAATGCAGCCGTCAGCCGCAAAGACATGTGGCAAACAGATGCAGGACTATACGTATGAGTTTGCAGTCATGACGCTAACGACCGCGCAGAAAAGGCAGAAGCACTATTTCCTCAGTCGATCATAGTTGACACATTCAAATCCGATGCAGCACTGGTCCTCGCTAAACAGCACGCGAAAAAAATAATAACGGTTCTCCAAATGATTGTGTAAATCATGAATGGTCTCTAACCGTGTTAATTACTATCTAAGTTGAGCAGTTTCATCTTTTCTCCATCTTTTCAATAAAACAATTGATATTTTTATCTCGCGATGTGTGTTAGACCCTAAAAGTGCACTAATCTCGGATTTAGCTCCAAACGCTGCCTACGCGTCTGAGAATGGTTCAAACCTTTGAATAAACATTATTTGAATAAAAAAGCTTTCGAGGATGTTTCAGGAAGCACTGAATCTACAACTTAGATATATGAATTACTTTCGATTGCACCTGTTGGGTTCTGAAAGCCTTCGTTGGTGAAATGACTATACTGAAAGTCGATGAGTGAAAACATCCGTCAGATTTCATTTTTTACACGTTTAGTTTGAAACAATTTTCAAATCGATAGCATATGTGTAAACATGACGATGCGCACGCAGTATCCGGCAAAACAACGTAAACGTATCATATAACAAAACATCGAATTCTGATGAGAATAACAATGAAGGAAAAAGCGCGCAAAAGTGCAACAGTACGAAAGAAAAAAATGCAGTAGGGGAGAACTCACCATAATTCGCAGGCACCAATCCCTTCTTTCCACCACATGTTGCGGGCAACCAGTCATCATTTGGCCCTCGATCGCTCACGTAAAGTAAATCACCCTCAGTAAACGACATCTCTTCAGCCTTAAAAATTCGATAAACTTTCATTCAATCCCGCATCAAACATCGTAACACTTCGGGTATTGTTTTGAAAAAAAAGGTATGTTCCAGTCGCTCCTCATGAATATTTGTAGATTAGTCGCCTATTGGTGAAGCATACTATTTGTTTTTCGACATGCTGGACAACGCAGATTTTCCGCTCGCCGCCTATCATTTCATTCACAGCGCAATGTGATCTCGTTGACGTTTTGTAGAACATCTTACTCCCTTAATTCGTTTGGTTGCTGCTTTGTTTTTAGAAATAAACTAAAAAGTTGTAAGTAACACTTATGTACTTCAAAATTCCCCTTCACCAGCTATACAACTTGTCAATCTTGTGCATGCGTGAATCTGAAGATGACGCTGGGCTCTAATGCTTTGAAAACTGACTATGTACGGCCTCGAGATTTTGCTTATGCGACGCGAGATCCAATAACAGCTACAAAACGCTTGAATGCAAAATGGAGTATTAGGCACTACAGTCCAGTCTTGTTAAATGTCATTTTTTTTGTTTGGTTTTCACAAAATTCCACTCGAGGTCTGTTTGTCACGACACACAATCAGCCGCACAAGTAGTATAGGCATTTCATCCCACGCACAGACTAGAGCCGTTGTGTCCGGCGAAAATTGTTCATGTGTGAGAGAGACAGCAGACAGTAAGAGAGACGATTCGATCAGAGAGACGCCGACAGCGTCCGTAGTGACATCCTGTCCTTGCGTGCCATGAATCGCCTGTACATACGAGCGACTGGACATTTGAGAATGTATTATCCTATCTGTCTCGAGAATTCCTCCAAAGTGAGATCTCACGGAAACATATCATTCCTATGACTACTAAAAATCGCTTTGGGTACGTTGTCAAAACGAGCTTGATATTGTACATGTTTAAATTTTATTATCTAGCATTACTTATTATGTAAACCAAAAAGAGCAAAAACAAGCATGTCTGGACAAAGTGTGCAGAGCAGTCGAGTCTCTTAGTCTCAGAATAGGTAGTACAACTGGACTCCACTTGACACAGGTCCTTTCACATACGCTAATGCATACCGTATAGGAAATAGTTCGCGAATTCCACCCCCTCCCTTCCCGCCCTTGTTGCGTTAGGCCTAAGGTAGGTGCCAGAGTAAGCGAATATTTTGTTCAGGTTGGGGTCCCGCGCAGAATTGACGTCACTTGGATTGACGCCAGCAAGGTTAATGACGTCCATTCTGGACCCCAACCTGAACAAAATATTCGCGTACTCTGGCACCTACCTAAGGCATACCTCGCGCGATTCCGGTCTCTGCGCGATTTGGCACAACAGTGAATCTTCGTAAATCGTCGTTGATGCGCTGCCGTTGGTCAGAACTTCATCGGTTTGCAACAACTCATACAAACTACCCAAACATGCGTTCGGGACGAACGTACGATAAATTTGCAGAAATCTGGCAAATTGCCAAGTCGCGTGAAAGAGCGATTCGGCCGAATCGCGTGAGGTGTGCCTTAGGCCCCGGGCAGACTTCACGCGATTTGATCGTCGCGACTGAATCGCGAGGAGACAACTGTTACAACATCATTCCATGCAGATCAACTTGCTTTCGGTTGTGATACTTTTCCAGGCCGAAATTTTTGAATGTGAAATGAAAATGAATGGAAATCTTGGCGATTTGGTCGCGACGATTAAGTCGCGTGAAGTCTGACCGGGGCCTTAGGCCTTAGGCCTCGGACAGAGTTCACGCAATTTCATCGTTGCAATTCATCGCGACAAGATGACTGTAACAATATATTGCATGCGGATCATCTTGCATTTCGATTGTAATAGTTTTTCGACACGGCTAATCGTGACTAACTATCACACCGAAATACAAGAAGATCGGCATGCAATAGACTGGTAACACTTGTCTTGTCGCCATGAATCGGACGACGAAATCGCGTGAACTCTGCCCAAGACCTTACTCGTTTTCCTAGGCATCTGCTACGATGGGTAAGAACTTGAAGCATGTGGCACAGAGTAAACATGCACGACAGCCCCCCAAGGTTGCAGTTACGGTGTCTTTGTTAAAAGCAGCGTCCGGGCAAGATTTCGGTTGGAATTTTTTTCGCTTACCTGGGCTTATCCTTCCCGTTGGTTCCAAAAATGCAGCTCGGAGAGCACGAAAACGTCGAAAACTTGCTTTTCCAGAAGCTTTTAATTTAAATTTTGTCCTTTCCAGGACGGGCGCCCCTGTACTCTACATTTTCGTTTTTGCCCGGACGTTGCCTTCAAAGATGAGGACTATGTGTTGTTTAGCTTTATGAAGACATTTTCACTGCACATGCAAACCTAAACCCCAGAAGAACATATCCTCATATGCGCGCCGCTGTGTTGGTCGCAGCTCTGTATGTGTCTGCGTTTTCAACAGACGCAGCTGTATCGTGTCAGCTGTGTTATCTTGATTGCTTAGCGTGATAAGCCCAGTAACCGGTAAAGTGTGAGGCTACCATGCCAAGGCGTCAGCAGAGTAGGTCGCTAAGAACGCATTTGAGTTCTACATTGGGAACTTAGCACCACTTTTTGGATAATCTTTACTGACGCAAAGCGACAGTAAGAAGTTTCGAAACGGGAGGAGGATAATGCACTGCACAAACATACATAGAGTATGAGCCGTATTTTGAAGAATATGACTTGTCAAACCCCTACAAAGTTTGCACCGCACTGCGCCTTGTTCTAACACAGCAGTGAGTTATTTTTTGGTCGCTTATTGCTGGGGCATTACAAAACAAGCCGAACGTTAACATTTCACGTTTCTGTCACAAAACAATACCACCCATGTGATCGAAAATTAGATTAGTGTTTGTTTTCGACAGCGTAGTGTTCTGCTCTTACATGCTTCCTAAAAAAGTTGCATACCTTCGTCATTTTCCCTCAGATTTACTCATGCAAACTAGGTATCTGTATAAAACTGCCATAATAAAAAAGTAAACAGTCCCAAAACAAGTCAGAAAAGTGCAAATCTTACAAAATAAGCCTTCAAAAGCGCATTTTTAAAATTGTAAAAAAAATGGAAACTCGAAATAATCGTATTTTTGAAAGTGCACGTACCGTTCTAGCATCATAATCATAGAGAGCTCTGTAGACCCGTACTCTTCCAGGTTTTGGTGCAGGCCTCGGAGGAGCTGCAGCAGCCATCGTCACACTGCTGCCTTCCGCGCGCGAATCGGCTACTGACGTCACCGCGACTGAATCGATCGATAAGAGTCACACCTTCCAAACGAAGATCACCAGCGCGGGTGAGTCATATTTCAGTGCTTTTGAGATCGGGCACCCCTACCCCCGCCCCTGAATGATTGACCATTTTCCTCTATCATTTTTGGTTTTGCAGAAATGGATAAAAAAGATGAGGAATCCGATGAAGACGAAGCATTTCTGCATTCTTCTATGGAAATCCTCGATGGAATATACAGGGGTGATGAGGTGTGGATTCATAATTTACGATACCAGTGAAATTTCGCAAACCGCAAAGAATGAAAGCGTTGAATCGTTTTTTGAAAGTGTGAACGGGACATCGCTTTGCGTATTTTTTCTTTATCGTGGCATATCAGTGATTTATCGTTGGAATAGAAGGAAGAAATGCAATAAAAAAAGAGATGTGACGGCGATTTGGGCACATATGATTTATCTTTCTGAACTAGCGTTTTAAACCATTGACGAACGTCTGTCAGTGGTTTTGTTGGAGTTTTCTTTTCTGGTTGGCTGTGAAATTTCATTATTTCTGATTGACCGTGCTTGTGTGCCTTTAAAAAAAGTCCGGCTATTATACTGCTGACTGAATTGTTTTGTGTTCATGATCGATCAAAAAACATTTCTTTTTTTTCAAATCCAGCACTCCAAAAAATGAATGCGCTGTTGGAAGCGAATTGAGCGAAATTCGCAAACGCCGGAATCATCAGCTAAAATAGATCAAATATCATTCTCCCATTCTTCAAATATGCAAACATCAAATCCTAGGGGCATGCACGTTAACTTTTTTGGAGTTAGTTCATATCTCCATTCAGGTCACAGAGCTCACGGAGCACTTGAGAAAACCGGAAAATTCGTTTGACTCGGATGCAACGGATTGTATTTACAGAGCAATAAAGGTAAAAATCTACTTTTTTTACGTGATTGATCTTTTGAAATGCATAATCGTGAATAGAGATGGAAGGCAAAAACACTGCATGGGCATAATGTAACGAATATCAATGATGTTTTTCTCTAGTAGTCTTTGCCCGTTTAGACTCGTCACCTGATGCAATTTTTTTCATAAAATTTTTAGACCATGGCTAGGCAAACACAGAATAACTCACTTGGTTCACTGTGTTCATCACCAGTAAGGTCTCCAGTACCGGACAAGGTAAACGAATCTCCGGAAAATGATTTAGGTTGTTATTTCTTTTTGTAAGTTATTGGTCGTTGAATCAAATCTACGACAATATAAATTTTCTTCTTTTTTAGATCGTGATAACTTAGCCACAGGGGATCACAGGATGGAAAATGAACTCAGTTTCAGCCCCACAAGCCAAGTCGGAGATATTGGAGACAGGTCACAGGTTCGCATACTTTTTCTTTGCATCCATCACCCCTCCTAGAATAAGCTTATTTACAAATTTCCATCTAGAACGAGCTGGAAACGATCGTACCACGTCTTACTCTGGAATTCTCACCTACCACATCGGTAAATCATACGCCATTGCCCTCACCCCATAGTCAGCTATTACCTGTCGACACACCAAGGTTACGCACAAGTATTGGTGAGCCTTCACATTGTTGTCATCGGTGTTATAACCGACGTAGTTACCTTCAAGCTTCAGACTTTGTTTATCTTTTCCTTTTTGGTCTTGGTACTGCATTGATTTTCTATTATTTCTATCTTCCCCCTCTATACAAGGGTCCGGTGTATTGATCTCCTACCTCTCTATCTTGCCACAGCTCTTTCGATGATTCTAGTTGTATATGAATAGAAGGGTGTATTAGCAATGGTAGCCGTTTTAGCGGTAAGTTTTACAGTCTACAGGTCTCACTTCATAGCTATTAGATTCGCTTTCACTATCCTCAGCATTTTTTAAATGCTTTTTTCTAGTGCAGCTTTTTGAATGTTCTTTTTTTTAATGATTGTCACATATTCATATATGCTTTATAGTAAGCATCTTAACTCTGCACATAATAAACACTTATTAAAGAGACGAGTAAATTGTCAGAGCAGATGAGAAATTAACGTGCACAATGCACATAATCCCTGATTGAGGTTTTATGCATGATCCAGAGGAATCACATCCCTATGCCGTTTTGGGGCCTAAGTCGTCAAATAAGAGCTTTGAGAATGAGATCAGGAACATCCGTTGTTTGATCTTCTACTAAAACAATATCGAAACCATCCAAATAAAGTTCCAGCAATCTTTCAGCCTGAAGAAATTCACGAACAGAAGAGTGAAACTTATCAAGAACAGAAAAACATCAACTATCGATACTTACATTACTGTTCAAATAGCCTATCCTCAACACAGTCCCACTGTGCTTGACTCCCACATCCATATGGAGATCACCAAGACTGTCTCCGAGTAGAAGAACATTTCCTCTGAGACAGATTGATATTTTTTACGCCATTGTCTTTGAAAAATATCAAGAACCATAAACTATATAATGAAAATGATTACCTATGAGCTATATCGTCAAAAAAAGGAGCATCATGTGGAATCACCGTCGAGTCTTTACAGAAAACATGAATAAGAGGTTCAGAGCAAGCCCTAACAAATCCCTGAAACTCTCTTTTCTATTTCAGTAGAAGGATGACTTTAACGCACATTTTCGTTGAAATACAAAATATTTGATATGATGTGGATGTTCTTGGGTATAGATCCCAATTGGTGTCGCAAGAAAGCTTCAATGACATTCCCCACACCTGCTGAGAATAACAGCATGGGAATGGAAGCAGCCTCGAGATGTTTCAGCATAGCACCTGCTCCGTCTCTATAGTAGAGTTTTTGTGCTCAAGATGTAAACTTCGGAGGACTAACCTAAGTTTTATATTAGTATTTTCAACTATGCGTTCAATATCGTCTCGATGTATACCAAAGTTTATATAGTTCTCGTGTGCTTTAGTCCACCTGAAACCGTTCGATTGAAAAATCGCTAGAAACAATTGTAAGCTCGATTACCATTCAATCATGTGTGGTATCTTCTCTTCCTTGCTTAGATGGGGATCATATTCTATAGCTACATACTTAGAATTCACAGCATTCACCTAAAAGATTTTCAGCATCAACACGACGTACGAAAAATAACTAGCAAGATGACCTGATCCGTCAACTCTGGATGAAGTGATAGAAGGAGATGATTGATTACCGCATGGCTACCCAAACATTTTTCTCCACTTTCATCTATGGACTTTGTCAAAGTGAAATCGAAATCGGATATCACCTAAACGTAAAAACAGAGCAGGGTCAGAAACAAATTTACTTCTCCGTTTCAACTTTTTGAGTTGTTACTTACCGCTAATTGTTCGCTTCCTCCTTTGAGTATAGCATTCAGCTTTGCTTCTACCACACTTTTATTACGCACCCGTACACTAGGATGATTTAGTATTTCTTCGACGGCCATTGTCTGTTGGAGTTCTTGTAACAAACTGATTTGTGTTATACTGAACCGGAATGTGCTCGCAAATGGGTAATGCTGCGACCTAGAAAAATAGTTGAAGCAGAATAAGTCTCAAAAATCCCAACAAAATCATTGTTGAAACTATGAACTGTACAGTGACAGGTATCACACACTACTATTTGGTATATTCAGTTGTCAATTTATAAAAAAACTAAACATAAAAAAGACATTTAGGTTAGCCATAATATGATGGAAGTGAGCAGCTTGAAGACAAGCACAGGAAATCCAACAAGTATTCTGAGCAGCAGAACAACAGCTGTCAAAGCCATGTTTTGAAACACTATGCTAATCATGACTGCGGATCTAACAATTTTGTAAGATTACTTGTGGGAACATTTTACTTTCAGCAATGACTTTAAACAGAAAAACTAAATGTTGAGAATGATTTCATTCACACAAGTAGACAAAGCAAATTGCAGGCTGCAATACTGTCATAAACACCCGTAACTATAACAGATTTTATTTTGAAAAATAAAGCGTCATAACTCACAAGAAACCGATAAGTCTGCACCAGTTAAAGAAATTTTAACAAAATGATAAGAGTATGCAAGATAACCTACTGTGAAGAAGAACAGTTGACAATGTTTGATCCAGTAAACTGAGAATACAGATCTACGAATTAATCACGAATTCATTTAGAGAACAAGATATTCCTCCAAAAATCAAAAAAAAGTGATTGCAGTGAAGCAAGTGCATTCAATTCGATCAAGAAAGATTGGTAAGCTTCAAATATCTTTACCTAGAAAGAACACTATACTGTAGCAAGTTCAGTTCAACTAATGATAAGCCAATACCCATTAAGTAACGCGCCTGGTAATGTATCGAATAAACCCGCATAGATGGACATTTATGCTACTCTACAGCAAAAAAAGGAGCTCATGAAATTAAAAAATAAACAAATATCAACAGAAGTCATACGAAGCTCGGAGATCCCTGAAACTTTCAAAACTGGTACGCGGGATATTTGCCGAAGACTTTCTGCAAAAAAAATAATAATGAAGGAAAGTGAAGCGCACCGAACACCCTTACCTGTAGAATAATACAGCACTCTTGATGTCCTCTGGCTTACTCACATTATTCATTTGCTGTTCAAAAATCATCAATGGAGGTTCGATAAACTTACGTTTACGTTCAGTCACCTTCTATAAATATATCTAGTAATCAGGATATATCAATTTTCTCTCAGCAAACCTCTCGAATTTTTATCGTAGGCTCCACTTTATGGAGCACCGAGAATAGCTGAGCTTCTAATTTATCCTCAGCCTCGTCAGATTCATTCTGCTCGGGAAATTCGTCGTCAGTCTCGACAACCTAAAGCACAAGTCTGACACATAATTCAAGAAGGGGAGGTAAATGTCAGCAAACAGAACTTTTTATAACACCTTTGGTGTTCCAAAAAGTAAGAGTGACAGAAGAATAAGATACTATGCAGTGACAAAGTGGCCAGTCATGTGTCCAAAATCAAAGTTACATCAAGCGTAAAGGAAAAAATCCTCACGTCAAAGTCCTTGTGGCAATAGTAGTAATGTAGTGCCATGCGATTGCCATTTCTCGTACTAAGGCCACATTTGCAACGAAATCGCATACCACGAATGCTGCATTGTAACGAATCGATTCCGCGGCGTAGCGAAGTATCAGTTATAGCTCGACGCTTGCCTTTGAATGCAGATATAAGTACCACGTGATATAGAAGAGCTTAACTTACCGTACAGGCTTTCGTTGAAGGCTAGCGTTATGCATGCTATACACTTCTTATGGTTCGCATTTGATTCGGAAGATGAAGCACATTTTGAGCACTGGTATAAAGGTTTTTGCTCAGGACAGACTAATCTGCTACGCGGTCGTGATCTAGTCTCTGGATTCTGAACATAAAACAGTAAGCTACATAGAGCCAATATGGATAGCTCGCCCCTATGAAAAGCTCGTGCATCAAAAGGGTCAATCTACTCGGTAATTAAAACTTGCCCTGTAAGTTAATGTCCACTTTGGATTGACAGCAGAATGTTCTTTCCGGTGCTTCTGTTTTTCCATCAGCGAAGAGAATGACAAAGCACAATGATCACAGCCCAGTCGAGCCTCTGAGGGAAAAAACTTTTAAGAGAGAATGGTCACCAGCACGCTTACCTGATTCATGACTTATCATATGGTATACAAATTCTGAGGCGCGGATTACTGGTCTCTTACGCTGATATGATGGCACAACAGTTGTGAATGTGCAGAATGGGCACATGAGCGTACTAAAGTGTTCGAAATCAACATAACTTGTCCTGATTTAATTACAACTTTTGCATTCTTCGTCCACACAAACGCGAAAATAAGAGTGAAGCCATAAAACAAAAAAACTCAAGAGCCAAGAAAACCAATACAAAAACTCTCGACGATACAACAAATCTTATTGGATAGTCAGAGAACACAAAAAAACTTTCAAGGATCGAACCTGGTATTCTTGTGCTCCCTAACGAAATGATCGAAGAGATGCATACGGACAGTGCATCTATACCGACATCGCTTGCAGTGATATGGCGCATCATTCGGTTCGTGAGCCAAAAGATGAGTGCGAAGAGCGCTTGCGGTACCAACCTGGAATATATTCAGTCGATCAAGACTTATATCATGCAGAAGGGGCTTACATCTGAACGCACATCCCTTTCACAGATGGCACAAGTTGCTCGATTCACAGCTTGTGGTTGCCTTGAGTGGCATCGCGTGAAGTGTACCTTCATCCGTGGTTTTTATTTTGCATCATCAAAAGTATGAAAAACAAACCTGCATCAAATATGGGGTATGGAACCTGGCAGTGCAAGTAGGGCAAGTGGATAAGATGTCAACATCGTTCCTTTTGCAATTGGCCAAACCAGGTGAGCCGCTTTCTGTTGAAGCGGGATAATTCGGTGACTTTGGATCATATTCTTTCCAAGCAGCTATATGAGCCCACAAATGGCATACAAAGGAGACATTTCCCGTCAAAACCCGACGACAGCTCGGATACTGACACTAAAAAAAGGATTCGCACACTTCAAAGAGAAATAGTCAACAGCAGCTCAAAACAGATTTCCTTACACAGACAAGGAAAAAATAGAAAACCTTACTCTAAATTTGAGCGAAGGGCACAGATGACGATCCGTCTCGCATGATTTCTCCCCGCATACTTCAAAATTATAATTCTGGACACGCGACTCCGGAACAAGGCGAGGCTGAAGAAATTAGGAATATAGGAATTTTCAAGAAAGAAAAGAAACTATACAATTACAGACAAGTAACTCACAACCGGTCGAAGCAAAGGCGATCCGCTCTGCGGCCGCGAATGCCTGGAATAAAAGTGTAATAATAGGGCTGCAAAAACATGTAAAAATGAAATAAGAGAATTTGCTTCTTCGCAATAATTCACATTTGTGCAGTGGAAAGTGGTTGTATAGGTCGAGGAGGTTGTTGATTTCCTAACAACGTAAGGGCGTTGATTCCAGAATCCTCCACAAATGTCGATTGAGAACGCTGTTTCTCGTACGATATCTTCGAACGTGGAGGCGATACAGAGTTGACCTGAACACTGCTGATCAAATAATGTTCACAGAAGTAACTCGCTGCTTTCGAAGAGAGGAGTATAAGAAGAATGGATATAAATATGGACCATTCCTTTTTTCAGTTTCAAACACTAAATATGAACCGAAGTACTTTCACACTATTACATTGATTTACTGCATTCTGTGACTATTTATGGGAAACTAGATAGGCACAGAGGCGAAAATATCAAACAAATAAGCTTCACGTCACAAGAATGATTAGCTCCACAATGAAAACTGCTGCTTTGCTCATCAGCTGTTATTTCAACGAAAAAGTTATCCACTTCTGTAACTTTCAATCCTATTTTGGAAAGCGCTGCAAGAGCATATGCTATGTGCGGATATCAATTTATTTAATACTATCACACGATTACGGCCCCGATCCACTTGATTCGGTTATATTGCGTTTTGCTGCAGTATCGATTGACACATGACCCATACGTAAGCCACTTTTTTTCCTGGAGCTCCCATAAATACACATTTCAGGCAGCAATAAGAAGCGTAAATTTCTGACGCAACAGAACTCAACTAGAAAAAATAATCTGAACTGAAACCTCCTTTACTCAACCCAATAAAGGAAGTGTCGCAGCTCATCGATCACTCACCTTACTAATATAAGCTGTATTTGACTTGATCTTGTTCACTGGAAGAAGGTTTTGGACCCTTGTTTCCATAGAGCGAGCTGAGTAGTAGCGGGTATTTTGGCTGCTATTCAAGACGCCTTCGTCGGAGCTGACAGTGCCGATTCCTAAACACAGCTCGATAATCTGGTTATCCAATATTTAAACTGAATAGCAAGCCGATACGACTTTTCCCCAGGAACCAACAAAATAAAGAGGTCTACGTCTTGTAAGTTTGGCTTTGCTATTCCGCTTCTATATCGTCTCACAAAAAAGTAACGCTGATGATAAGATTATACGTAAAGTAAAAATTGACATGAGACTAACCTAAGGCGTCCAGGTCAAGCGGTTTGGAGTTGACGATGTCAATCGATGCAAGAGCTGATCCGTTTACTGGAGTAGTGGTAGTGCTGTCTTCATCATCGGAATCCAGTATGATTACTTCTGTTTCCATCTGAAACATCTCGCTTAATCTAAAATAAGAATTTATGAATAGCATCGCAAAGTTAAGACAGCTCATCCGAAAGAACACTGGGCAAAGACACGATTCTAACATCTTTGGTGTGGCTGAATTCTCGGAAATTTCAAAGCTTAAAGGACCATCAGAGCTGAACCGGAAAAACGTGCGCCAGCGACGGCGGTAGAGGACTACGGCCGTATCGATCGCTGACGACGGGAATGTGGGGGCGGCACCCATAGCACCAACATCGTTAATGCAAAACATGGTTATCGATTGAATTCTGGACAGAGCACGCACGTAAAGGCCGAGCCGAGGCAACAAATGGCATTCTGCAAGGCATGAATAACGTCTCGTCTTTTAGGGGTTTGTATAGCCAAGACGAGGGGAAAGTAAAAATGCCGTTTCTACATCAGATATGCTATCATGGCGAGTTTTTGAGCTCATAGAAAGGAAACCCAAAAAAATCCTTCCTAATCCAACATAACATGCCCAAAACAAATCCTTAGCAACTAGGCCGGCGCATGATTTCCCTGGTAACACGTGCCGCGCACGTGCGCCGCACCGGTGACAATACTCTGCGTCGGCGAATCGACTGTAAATCGACCCTATTACGCCATGCATGAAAAATTCACCGATGATCCATGTGTCGCATGGCTTTGTTACTTACTAAAATCTGATCCAGTGGCTGCATTTTCTTCACATTAACCTTTCTTTTGAAGACTCTGACAAGACCTTTCTGGCCAGAAGTATCGTCCAATCCACGAATGTTGCTACCCTGCTCTGCATTTCCGACCTGCAGCACGCATAGCTAATGCTGTTGCAACATGCAGCAAAATATTGGAGTCGAGGGTAATTAAAAACATGTTGTTGGTATATAACATGTTGCTGCATGTTGCCAACATAAAAGCCATGCATGGCGCAGGTCGAAGGCGCAGACCAAGGTTAGCGATAATCAAGAAGTGGGCGACACGCAACAACTTCCATTGCTCAAGTTTGTCTAGGTGTTCAAACAGACTGTTTTTTTTTCTCAGAAATTGCACGGTGTAGCAAGGGTCATCATGTGATTTCCTGCGCCAGGTGAGGACGCTGAAGATTGAACCGAGCAGCTAAGAATCAGGATTGCACTATTGAATCCTCGTGAACTTACGGAATTTGTACAGTTCCCTTTGCTTTCCCAGACGATAACTAACGTGTCTCAAGCGCTCATAATATTCAGATGCTTCGCCATGCTCTCAGATGGAACAACTGCACGGTTCGGTAAGAGCAGAGACAGACGCGCCTGATTCCCTCAACATGCATTGCCAAAATTTATGGGCATGCAGCAAGCGAATCCAGATATCACGAAATATGGCGGTCGGTTTGTTGCAGGGCAACATATGCGCCTTCCTCGGACAGAGTTCACGCGATTTGACCGTCGCGATTCAATCACTACAGACAAGGGTTACGAGTTTATTGTATGCCGATCTTCTTGTAACTCGGTCGTGACAGTTAGTTCACGATTGGTCGTGTTGGAAAACTATCACAACCGAAATGCAAGAAAATCGGCATGCAATGATATTATTACAATTGTCTTTAGGCCCCAGACAGACTTCACGCGATTTGATCGTCGCGACTCAGTCGCCGACATTTCCATTCATTTTCATTTCACATTCAAAAATTGCGGGCTGGAAAAGTATCACAACCGAAATGCAAGTTGATCGGCATGGAATGATGTTGCAACAGTTGTCTCGCCGCGATTCCGACGATCAAATCGCGTGAAGTCTGTCCGGGACCTGAGCGATTGAATCGCGACGATTAAATCGCGTGAACTCTGCCCAAAGCCTCAGACTGCAGGTATATGCACAATCTGTCCAAGTAGTAGCAAATTTGAGAAGAAGCACTTCAGTAAGGTTCCGGGAGTTTATGCGATTTCAGTCTCGACGTTTGTAGTACTCGATGTCAATGCGCAATTTAAGTGTGCACAAGATGGGCATTTCAACAGTTTAAGAAACCTATAAACATTATGCGTTTGTAGTTTGCAAGTGTTGCATTCGAGAACGGCCGCATGGACCACATTCAGACATTCTCGAGGATCAGAGAAGTCTGCCGGGAACGCCGACTGCCTCTCGTCTTACCTTCGTCGACTACAAGAAAGCCTTTGAGAGCGTCGAAACCAACGCCATCCTGTCACCGCTAGTCGATCAAAGAGTGGACTCAGCTCACTTGAAGACGTTAGCTGTCACCAGAACTCTACGACGATGCAGCTACATCGACCCTGACCATTCCACTTGGGAGGAGTCCGACAAGGTGACACTATTTCGCCGAATCTGTTCCCCACGGCCTTGCAGCGGGTGATGAAGTACTGGACTGGGACGAGAGAGGCACGAGTTGATGGGAGTTTTCTTTTCCAGCAGTATCAATGAGAGACGATGCTGGAAGAACTAAATGAAGTAGAGAAGCAGGCCGGATTGCGAATGAATTGGAAGAAGACTCAGTTCACAAACAACGCCCTTTACGAAAACGCAGAAATAGAATGAAGGCACCCTTATCTTCTTGCGTATTTGATGAACATGGAGAACGACTTGAGAGAAGAACTTAACAGGTGAAAAAGAGCAGTCTGCGCCTCCTTCGAGCCTCTGAAACAAGCCAAAGCTGACGCGGAACTTCGAGCCTACCTGTTTGACTCAATCGTTCTCCCGGTACTCTGTTAGCCAGCTGAGACTTGGACCGACACTGTAGCCACGTCGAAAGCTCTACGAACCACCCATAGAGCGCTTGCGCGCAGTCTTCTTAAGATGAGCCGACACAAGCAACACCTTGTCGAACTTCGCAGTACGTGAAAAGAATGTCCCGACTTCGTGACCCAGTGGAATACGTTGCGAAAGCGGAACATCGGTGTGACGGTCATATCATGAGAAGAACAGACGACAGATTGACTTAAAAACATCAGAATGAATTCCTCGCGGGGTAAAACATTCCAGAGGAAGACCTGGGCAGACGTGTACATAGAAGGAATGGACCAGCTGAGAAATCACCTAGATACGATTTCCGCACTCGGGACTTGTGGGCGCAGCCACCGACGACAACAAGAAGACCGTGGATGCATGAAGGGGAGGGAACACTGGAGAGTTCCATGCAGGACCCGCAGAAGATGTCACGTGAGGACGGGGGGTGAGGACTATATGTCGCCGAATGTGGAAGGGTCCCGCGGACTTCTTGCTAAAGCGTACCTCCGTGCACGTGCAAAGGCGCGAATTCGTTGCAAATGACCGCGGGTACCGCCTTATTTCGGCGACGTATGTCTAGTCCAGTACCCGAGAGCGGGCCATCTGTATCTAACAAGGGAAGTTCGCCGAACCGAAATGGCCGATTGATACGTGGTATATACCCGGACGCGGGGCTCGGAAGGTTAGTATCAAATGTGCGCCCATTAGCTGCGACGCGTTATTATGAAGCAAGTTATGGCCCTCTGAAGTTTTTGGCGTGTGCATGTCTAGAGAACACACAAATGCTCCGGTTGTGGTCGTGTGGTGTAGTGTAGCGTCTCGGACTCACAGGTGACCGGTGAGGGTTCGAATCCTGTTGCTGTCCACATGTTTTGCGTTCTTCTCAAAAATCATTTTTTACCTGTTCTATGTATTATTGAGGTAAAAAATGACACACACGGGTTACGGAATGATTTTTCTCACGAAAATTCGACCAATGCTTCATATGTAAGATTTTCGTAGAACATAGCAACGACTTTTTAGCGACGGCTTTTCAACTGACTTTGAAGATTTGCCAAATCCTCACTCCCACATACTTTCTTCGATTGCACGTAGTATTACGTGACAATCTCCAAATTGTATCACGTCATACTATCGATTCTTGCTAATCTGGGCTACCTTGTGAGAATGACACGGCAGGATGTATAATTAGTAGAGTTTAACCACCCGTATGTGTCATTTTTTTACGTCAGTAATGCATAAAACAGGTAAAAAATGAATTTTGAGAAGAACGCAAAACATGTGGACAGCAACAGGATTCGAACCCTCACCGGTCACCTGTGAGTCCGAGACGCTAACCACTAAACCACACGACCACAATCGGAGCATTTGTGCGCACTCTAGATATGCACACGCCAAAAACTTCAGAGGGCCATAACTTGCTTCGCAATAACGCGTCCCAGCTAATGGGAGCACATTTGATACTAACCTCCCGAGCCCCGCGTCCGGGTGTATACCACGTATCAATAGGCCATTTCGATTCGGCGAACTTCCCTTGTAAGTAAGTAAGTGCATGTGAGGACATCTGGCAATTGCCAGATCGTCGCAAGTAAATTTGTGTGAAGTATGCCCGGTAAGGGGTAGGCTGTTTCGCGACGGCAGGTGCAGCATACATATCCCGACACAATGAAACACGTTTTAGTCATGTTTTCCCCATATGTTTCGGTCTACACTAGGCTTCGGTATCGCTCTTCCGCGTTTGTTGCTACCCCTGCTCTGCGTTTGTCCTGCGGTCCGCCACCTGTTGGCAACATGCCAAAAAATGTTGGCAAGTTTTTTGGCTTCTTTGCTGCATGTTGCCAACATGTTATGAAGATGTGCGCGCCGCGCATAGCTCCGCAAAAACATGCCGATCGTACCTCTGACTGTTCCCCGGCCGGGTGGAGGACTATATGCGCCGAATTTGGAAGAGTCCCGCGCGAATTCCCTGCAGGAACATGTCCGCCCGCGCATGTACAAGGATGCGTGTTTGTCACAAATGACCGCGGGAACCGCCTTTTTCGGCGACATATAGTCCTCTACCCTCCCCGGCCGACTAAGATCGTACCACACCTTAGCCGAAAAGCGCTTACTTAGAGGCAGCGTCCAGGCAAAACTTCAATCTTTGGATTCGCTTAACCGCTGTTCAAATTATTTGGCTGAGAGCGCGAAAATGTCAAAAATTGACTTTCCCCGAACCCACGTGTTTGAATTAGGACATGAGGACGCAAAGCCTGCCAAAGTTGAGACGCAGAGTAAGTTATGGATCCTACAGTTCATGAACGTGCGCG